CCCGGGACAGGACGTGAAATACGGATATGTCCCGGGAAATACGGACGTTTGGTCACCCTAACATATAATATAATGATAGGAACAACTTAAGAAAATTCACTGTTGTGCTATTTACTAATGCACATCTTTCTTTTGTTTTTTTTTTTTACTCTTCTGCTTCGGCTGTTTTGGCTGCGGGTTCCTCTCCAACGGCACCACTGAGCACCTCCAGCCTGTATCCCAGTTTAACACAAGCCTGCTGCTCTCTGCTCAGCCTCCACCTTATCAACCGAAGGCTACAAATTCTTTTCAAAGAGAGGACGACTTTTATCACCATGGTTCTCAGAGAGCCGAACCAGAGGAGGGAGACGACGGGGGCGAACTGAGACTGTCATTTGACCCCCAACAGCGGAGATTCATCTATCACCTTTGCTCCATGGTGACTAAATAGGAGCCACTATCTTCAACAGACTGCAAACAGCTCCGTATGGACCAGCTCTGCGTATGGACCAGCTCTTCATTCAAGGAGGGGCCGCAGTGAGGACAATTTGAGTCACTGCGATAGAAAGCGCAGTGACTGAGAAACAGACTCAGGCACAGCTGACTCTCCTCAAAAACTGCCACTAAACTGTTTAAACTGTTCTCAATGCAGCCCTCAGAAAAAACAGCTCTCCAAATGATGGTTGCTGCTACATCTGTGGCAAACCTGATCACTGGGCCAGAAACTGTCCACACAAAAAACGTGGGTGCAGAGGAGGATGTGGCAGAGGCTCAGTTCATCATGGAGGTCCACCACCCTACCATGGAGGCCAGAAAGGACAGAGAAGCCATTCTCAGCAAAGGGGATATCAGGCACAGAAGTGAGGTCACTCTACCACTAGTGAGGGAGCTGTTGGAGCGACCCCCGGTTCAACAGACTGCAAGTAACACACACACACACACAAAGTACATTATCGAGACATATATTAGTTTCCTGATAATTTTGTATGTTTTACTCCGGTGAGTTGCTGGTCTCATGTTTGAATTGATATTCCTTTCCCTCTTATAATGGATATCCAGTAACTAAAACTCTCAATAACAGTTTGGTCAGGTTTAATTAGCTTTCTCTGATAAACGGTATCCTACCGTAGCAAAACTTTCTATCTTTCTCTCATCTATAGGTACCTTTTTTACATCTGAAATGCTTTTCTTTTCCAGATCATCACACCCATAGAACACTGTTGTTATTTTGACACATGAGAAAGCATGTGATAAAGGGGGGAGATTTATATAAGGGTCTATATAATCATATTAAATTTAATAATAATATTAAAATGAATACAATGTCGCTATCAGTTTAGTCATTCAAGCTATCTCGGTCAAGTTTTTTTTTATTTCTTCTTTTTCTTAAATGGTTGTCATTCCTTCTAGGCTGATTTATGAGGTTGAACTATTTACTGAGTTGTCTGCCCAAAACCTGTTAACTGCAAGGCTGCTTAAGAGCCTGCCCACCTTTTGCTTATATAAGATCCTTTCTCATCTGAAATGGAGCTCTTAGACTTTACTTTTTTTTCTCCAAATAACGTCTGGTGGGGTTTAAATGGTTACCTAAATAATTTTTTTCCATCCCTTTTGTGTTTTGACCCATGGGGTACCATGAGTCAAAAGGGAGGACTAGGAAATGGATGGACAAAAAATGGTTAACAGTTAATTTTTCTCAAATAGCAACAAAGTTTGTGAAGATTGCTTAATTTGTGCAAGTCACAACATTTCTAGAGGACAGAAAATGATGGGCCAAGGAGCCACAAAAACAGTTGATGCTCCATTTCAACATAATAATAATAATACATATTAACAGCGCCTTTCTGGACACTCAAGGTCACTTTATAGAAAATAAAAAGAAAAATGAAAATACAAAAATACAAATGCAGGAACATAAAAACAATTATGTATAGGGACAAGAAAAGCGTATTCACAAATAAGCGAGCTGGAACAGATGGGTTTTGAGTCTGGCTTTGAATAAGGGTAGA